GACACGTGACTTTATTTTTTATTGATTTAAATATGCTATTAGTCTCTCTGATATCAAAAGTATTCAAGTTGTGAAACTCACATCAATATCTCTCACCATTATTTCACCGCTATATATTTCGCAAACGTGTTGTTGGACGAGGTCGTTCACCCATACGTGCCTGGAAACTCCAGGTACCTTTGATATGACATCACATCAAGTAGTTATCTTGTTGGCGCAGCCTTGACATCGAAGCTGCGACTATCATGTTACTTCAACTGTATATTTTTATTCTTTCATTTAGTTAAATAATAATGCAAATTTCTCTCTGTCTCTACGCGCTTGTATAAGTTTTGAGAGCATCGACGATCCGTAAGCAAATAAAGGGCGTTAAAAGTCATGCGCGACTTAATCGATCTCGAAACGTGTTCCACGTGCAGATTTGCAACGTGTTTTTGTCGGGATGCTCTAATTCACGCGCAGCAGAAGCAAACATTGGCTCACGGACGGAAGTACTTATTTTAATCACCGCTTCCCTCAACCGTAGCTTGAATTATTTTTTCACTCGCATATAAGTTTGCAAAGATCGTTTGTTATACAAATTGTGACGTGGTTTCAAAAATATCAACGTTAAATATACGTTACTCTAATCTTAAAAGTAAAAATTCAGAAAAAACATATTTGACAGATATAATTAGATATCCCGATAATGGAACATTAACCTTTTCAGGAAATTAAACCAGAGATATAATTTTTGAATCAATACATCTTTCATTTTCTCTCTCTCTCTTTTTTTTAAATCGTTGCCTCTCTTTGTGGTTGTTTGATATCGATGGAAAATAAAAAAAAAAAAAAATGTGAAAAGCGAGTTTATAGAGAGGTTTACGTATTTACGTATTCATATCGCCGCGTTATTTATCGTACGCTTATTTAGATACTCTTCGTAGGATGTAAGGAGGGTAAAAATTTCTCTCCGATATGAACGTGCAATTTAGATATGCGTCGATCGAAGCTACATTTACCTTTGGAATAATAAGTTGTGTTCGCCGTGTGTCTCCCGCATTCGCTTATATATTGACCGATTATATATATACGTGCGAGTCTGGATATGAAGTGCATATCAAACAGCGAGGAGAGACATTGCACCGTAACGACTTTTCGCCTACGATTGCCTGCGTTCTTCGAAATCGCCGGAGAGATCGAGACCTTCGGAGTCAAGAGACCTCTTTGTGCGTCAACCCTGACGAGTTTTCGGAATAACAGAATCAACGCACAATTAAAAAAAAATCTTCTCTCGATAATTTTTATAAAATCTTTTTATTCAGATAATTAATAAAATCACGGATCGCATCCGAAATATCGGAATTATTACGATTATTAGCACCTGCAAATCGCGCCGCTTCGGTATTCAAAGGACAAGAATCCGCGCTGAGGGCAATCTTGAAATACGACTCGTTGAGAGCATCGCACTTAATCCTGAATTACGACAGTTTTGCAAGATGAAGAGATATGCGCGCGAACGGCCACCAGACGAGAGGATTACGTACGAGAGAGTTCGAGAGGAAAGGCGATCGATCCGAGGCACGATTTTTTGGATTCCATATCGCGATTCCGATTATCAAAAGCGACGCAATTCTACGGTATATATCTATATAGAAACATGTGTGTGAATCCGGTTGGAACCGCTTAAATACTCCGACCTGAATTCCGATTACGTGACACGCGTCGAGAAATTCGCTGTCGAATTCCGATTTATCGTGAATTATTGATGGGACGAGAAGCGATAATGAGTTGAACAAGATTAATTTGTTAATATATAAAATATAATATATGCCACTATACGTAGAGATAAAAGGATATGGGAAAAATATAATGAGAGAAGAGAGAAAAGTTTGTACCATTACTAGTGACATTAATATGTGAGAGAAAAAGAAAAAATTTAATTTACAAAATAAAGATAATATATGCAAGATTATAGGCAATAAGAGATTTGAAAAAAAACTTTAGCGCAAACCTCACATTCATATTCTATGTTGATAATATGCGTACACGAAGAGGATAAGATAGATGATATATTAATGAGAATATAATCGAGGAACTCAATTTTCTTTTTTATAATCCGAAAAATGATCGAACAATAGATAGACAAAATGCTCTCACGAGCAATAAAGAACGATTATGCAATGCTATGCAAAACAATGCGTCGTTAAAATAAGGTGCAGCTAACATGAACGTCATAGTAGCAAGAATCCTTGTTTTCCCATAGTCGCATCATTACGTAAACAATTGTTCAAGCGCAACGCAAAGATACGATTACCTGTAATCGCGGTACATTCTAGAAAAAAATCTAATTTCTTATCATGCTTTCGCGCAATTTCGTTAGATATCTTTGATATTTCTTGAAAATATTTTATTACGCGTTTTAATTAATACTCACGAGTGCATCGTGATTCGCGTTTCTTCTCAATAAGACTGTACTTGTGAAAACGGTGTTAATGCTTGCGACGAGAGGCAGTCGTAAAAATATACAAAACTACACGCTAATATGTGGTTTAGATAGTCTTGGTGATGTGATGAAAGATCGGAATTCGTGCCGGGCACAGCATCCCGATGGAATGCGCCGCGGAAACGATCGTCAATTTCTTCATCCACTCGGAGTGTCAGTCCGATGACAGTTCGATTGCCATCGATGACGGCACATTCCGATTCACGATGCATAAGAACGTAGAAAATTTCAATGGCATCCGCAACCGCGAGAAGAACGTCGAGGCGCGAAGCGGAATGTATCGAGTATGCTTTGTTCGCCAACAACACAAACGAGACACGAAATAAATAAAGGAAAAGTCAAAGAGATAAAAGAGGCGCCTTGGCGATTTTGGCGAAGCGCTATAATATACGCTGGCAATTAATTCCAGCCCCT